AAGGCTCCTCCTGCTGTAAATGAAATTTTCTGCTCCGTAAAAATCTCTTGGTGCTCCTAAAGAAAGGAATTTTTCCCAATTTTTCTTCCAGAATATTTAATATAAATTAATTCAAATTAAATTGGGAATTAAAAAGGTGAAATCTGCTGGAAAATGATGTATTTTAAAATTAAAAAATAAGTATTTTAAAATAAAAAAAATGAAGTATTTTAAAATAAAAAAAATTGAAGTATTTTAAAATAAAAAAATGACATATTTTAAAATGAAAGTATTCAAAATAATGGAAATATTCACCTTGATAATTTGCTCCTGGCTGTAAAAATGGGAAATTTCTACCAGAGATCAAAGTGTTTGTACCAGTCAGGAAAATGGGTTTGGAAAAGTGAGAAAATCCTGAAAATTTGGGATTTTTATGGGGTTTGGGTGGTGAGAGAGAAAAAAGGATCAGAGAGCCTCAAATGAAAGGGCCAAAGGATAAAATAACCCAAAAATTGAACTGAAAGAACAGAAAATGGAATTTTCACAGCCTTAACCGTGTTAGGAAAATATAAATGAAGCAAGCAAAAATAAATTTGAGGTGAAAATCACAAAATAAATTTGAGAAATTCAAAATAAACTTCAGAAAATATCAGGTGAAGAATCAGATCTCCTTAAATTCTCCCTGTACACTGAATTTAAAGAAAATCCTAAAAAATCCAATGCAGGAAAGCAGCTGGAAATTGATTTTATTTTTGAATTATTTTGGGGAGAAGCTCTGGGAATCAAAGATTTTCACCAATATTTGCTCCCCCCAAATGGATTTATTTTTTAAATATATCCAGAATTTCCCAGAATTACCCAAAAAGTTGAAGGAATTTCTGCTCTCCTAGAAATTCAGAAGAGCTGTGGGAAAAGAGAAGGAATTTTAATTTCTTTTTTTGAAGATTTCCCTGCAGCCTGATGCTGTTCTGGAAAATAAAAATAATAAAAAATAAAAATAAAAATAGATTTACAATGAAACAACGTCATCTTTATTGTAACTGCAACAGGAGTTCCATGAGAGTTAAGAATGTTAAAGAAATTGAATTTTTATATAAGAAAAAGGAATTTACCAGCCTCAATAAAAGCCAGGGCAATCACTGAGTTCTGTAGGATTATTCCATTATTTTTTTCCTGATTATTTTTAGTGTACAACTTTAGGAAATGTCCAAAAATCCCAAAAGGATTCAGGATCTGCTGCCACCAGAAATCCCAAATTCATGAATTAGCTGCCTTATATCACCTGGTAAATAATGGGGAGTTCTGGGACAAAAGAATAAAAAATAAAAATAAAAATAAAAATAAAAATAAAAATAAAAATAATAAAAGGGAAATGAAGCAACAGACAAAAAGCACAGAGGGTTTAAGGAAAATAATCAAAATAAAAATGGCAGGTCCAGTTTTCAATGTTTCCACCAACAAATGTGGCAGGAAAGCGTGTGAGGGTGTGGAAATTGAGGTTTGGGGAGGTTCATCAAGTGCAGAAAATAAAAAAATTAAAAATAAAAATAAAGGAAAGGGTTTGGCTGCTTGGGGAAAGGTAAATTAAAATGGCAGCACACGATGAATGTGCCAGGGACAGCCCGCTGTGAAATATCCCTGCAAAAAAATATCCTACAGACCCCATAAATCCCACAGAAATGGGGGAACTGAGCCCTCAGACCCCACAGATCCCACAGGAATGGGGGGAACTGAGCCCTCAGACCCCACAAATCCCACAGAAATGGGGAGCTGATCCTACAGACCCCACAAATCCCTCAGACCCCACAAATCCCACAGAAATGGGGGAACTGAGCCCTCAGACCCCAAAAATCCCTCAGACCCCACAAATCCCACAGGAATGGGGGAACTGAGCCCTCAGACCCCACAAATCCCACAGAAATGGGGGAACTGAGCCCTCAGACCCCACAAATCCCACAGAAATGGGGGAACTGAGCCCTCAGACCCCACAATCCCACAGGAATGGCGGGAACTGATCCCTCAGACCCCACAAATCCCACAGAAATGGGGAGCTGATCCCTCAGGAAGGGTGAGGAGCTGACCCTGCAAATCCCACAGAAATGGCGGGAACTGATCCCACAGGAACATGGGGGAGCTGATCCCTCAGATCCCAGAGGAACATGAGGGAGCTGATCCCACAGATCCCACAGGAACATGAGGGAGCTGATCCCACAGATCCCACAGGAACATGAGGGAGCTGATCCTACAGATCCCACAGGAACATGGGGGAGCTGATCCCACAGATAGGGCCGAGGAGAAACCCCACAAGTAGGAGGGGAACAGATCCCTCAGACCCCACAGGAAAGGTCTCCTCAGCTGATCCAGCAGAAGGGGTGAGGAGCAGATCCTACAAATCCCACAGGATGGGTGGGGAGCTGATCCTACAGATCCCACAGGAGGGCTGGGGAGCTGATCCTACAGGCTGAAGGAGAGCTGATCTCACTGATCCTACAGGAAAAAGGGGAGCTGAGCCCACAGACCCCACAGGAAGGGTGAGGAGCTGACCCCACAGATCCCATAGGAGGAAGAGCTGATCCTACAGGTATATGGGCAGCTGACCCCACAGATCCTACAGGAGGGATGAAGAGCTGAACCTACAGGTATAAGGGGAGCTGACCCCACAGACCCTACAAGGTTGAGGGCAGCTGAGCCCACAGACCCCACAGGCAGGGAGAGGAGCAGATCCCACAGATCCTACAGGAAGGGTGGGGAGGTGATCCTACAGGCAGAAGGGGAGCAGATCCCACAGATCCTACAGAAAAAAGAGGAGCTGACCCCACAAAGCCCACAGGTATGAGGGCAACTGACCCCACAGACCCTACAGGAGGGATGAAGAGCTGAACCTACAGGTATAAGGGGAGCTGACACCACAGACCCTACAGGATGGGTGAGGAGCTGATGCCACAGAGCCCACAGAGGAAGAGCTGATCCTACAGATCCCACAGACAGGGTGAGGAGCTGATCCTACAGGCCGAAGGCGAGCAGATCCCACAGATTCTACAGGAAAAAGAGGAGCTGACCCCACAAAGCCCACAGATATGAGGGCAGCTGACCCCACAGGAGCAGGGGAGCAGATCCCACTGATCCTACAGGAAAAAAAGAGGAGCTGACCCCACAAAGCCCACAAGGTAATAAGGGGAGCTGACCCCACAGACCCTACAGGAAGGGTGAGGAGCTGACCCCACAGATCCCATAGGAGGAGGAGCTGATCCTACAGGCAGAAGGGGAGCTGATCCCACAGATCCTACAGGAAAAAAGAGGAGCTGACCCCACAGACCCCCCCACAGGTATGAGGGCAGCTGACCCCACAGATCCCACAGGAGGGATGAAGAGCTGAACCTACAGGTATAAGGGGAGCTGACCCCACAGGAAGGGTGAGGACCTGACCCCACAGACCCTACAGGAGGAGGAGCTGATCCTACAGGCAGAAGGAGAGCAGATCCCACAGATCCTACAGGAAAAAGAGGAACTGAGCCCACAGACCCCACAGATATGAGGG